ATTTGGTCCCATCTGCAAACTTGATGATCCTGCCTTCCAGCCCTTCATCTAAGCCATTAATAAATATGTTGAACACGACTGGGCCCAGGACGGAACCCTGCAGATGGCACTCTGCTCATCACTTCTTTCCAGAATGAAGAGGAAGCCTTGGGGAGAATCACCCTCTGGGTTCATCCATTTAAGTCGCTCCTCATAGGGCTTGTTGTCCCTTGATCATTTTAGGACACCTTCTCTTCTGGACACATTCCAGCTTGTCTATATCTCTCTTCAACTGTGGTGTCCAGAATTGGACACAGTGTGATTCCAGGTGTGGTCTGACCAAGGCAGAATAGGGCATGGGGAGCATGACTTCCCTGGATCCAGACACTATTCTCCTTGTTGTTCTTGTTGTTAACCGCTGTGAGTCGCCTAAGGGCTGAGAACAGCAGTATACAAATAAAGTAAATAAATAAATAATAAATAAATATTGATGCAGGCCAAAATCCCATTGGCCTTTTTTGCCGCCGCATCACATTGTTGGTTCTCGAGCCAAGCGTCCTCCATTCTGTCTCTTTGCTTTTCATTTTTTCCCTGCCTCTTGCATTTGTCCCCATTGAAATTCATTTGGCCCATCTCTCCAATCAATCAAATGATCTGCTTGAGAACTAAAATTTGGAATGAACCTTTGATCAAAATGCTACCACACCAATAAAAGCTCTCATTTGCTTCTTGGTTTTGGGCCTTGACCAATCTTGTATGGCTTTTAACACAAGATTACTTCTAGAATGGTATGGATTCAACACATTAACATGTAATTTCCTACACCTCCCCCATCAGCATCCAGGTGACAAGTTAATGTACACCTGACACCTTAGCGAACACAGTCTAAGGGCCTTCCCAAACCACTTCCAGTCTTGTCTTCGGTCGAGGCCGCAACACCAAGACCTGACCTCCATCTTGAGAAGTCCAATGCCTTGCTCTGGAATCACTCTGCTGTTTCTGTTGCTGTTGAGCTGACTTCAGATTCACCATTGTGACATCACAGACGGGATTAAGATGGCATTGCAAGTCCTCCACACAACTAACCATGTCCTTTTCTGGGATGCTTTCTTGCCCGGTCCATGCCTCCTTCAGGATGTCCCTTGGGCTTCCTTCCAAATGACAGCTCAAATGGACTGAATCCGGCGCTCTTTCATGGGACTTCGCTATAGGCAAACTGCAAGTGCTGTAATTGTTGGTTCCCGTTGTTTGGGTGATTTTGGACATATTCAGCAGTGGAACTCTCTGCCCCGGAGTGTGGTGGAGGCTCCTTCTTTGGAGGCTTTTAAACAGAGGCTGGATGGCCATCTGTCAGGGGTGCTTTGAATGCAATATTCCTGCTTCTTGGCAGAATGGGGTTGGACTGGAGGGACCATGGGGTCTCTTCCAACTCTATGATTCTATGATTCTATATGTCTTTATCGTGTGGTTCAGTGTGCAATTCAATTTTTTGGTTAAGCCATTTGATTGTGGATGGTATGGAATTGTAGTCAAATGCTTTATGCCACATGTTCTAAATATTATTTGTTTGTTTCATATACTTGTACCCTGCCCTTCTCACCCCCGAGGGGGGACTCAGGGCGGCCTCACAGCAAACACCATTCGGTTCCATCATAATGATAAGAACAATCAACAAATTAATTAAAACAAAACATTAAATGAACAGTTGTTAAAACACACGATTCATTGTCACTTCGAAATTATGTCTTCTTCATACAAGCCGCTATTCAATGGTCAAACGCAAGGTCCCACAGCCAAGTCTTGAGTTTCCTTCTCAAGAACAGGAGGGAGGTGGCCAATCTGATGTCTTTGGGGAGGGAATTCCACAGATGGGGAGCCACTGTTGAGAAGGCCCTGTCTCTCGTCTCCACCAATCGCATGGTATCAAGAGCAGGGCCTCTCCAGATGATCTTAAACTTTGTGATGATTTGTAGTAGGAGATACGTTCAGACAGGTAGTCTGGGCCAGAACCGCTTAGAGCTTTAAAGGTTAAAACCAGCACTTTGAATTGTGCTCGGTAGCAGATCGGCAACCAGTGGAGCTGGTGTAACAGAGGAGTTGTATGCTCCCCGTACGCCACTCTGGTGAGCAACCTGGCTGCTGGCCATTGAATTAAAGTTTCCGGGCAGTCCTCAAAGGCAGCCCCATGCAGAGCGCATTGCAGTAGTCTAATTGGAATGTAACAAGAGTGTGGACCACTGTAAATAGTTCCTGCATTAACTGCGACATCAAAGCAGACCCTAAATCAGTAACAATCTCTTTAGGGAACCCCACTATGTTGAAAATATTTAATAGGGCACTAGCCCTTAATACAATTCCTCACGTTGTGGTGACCCCCAACCATAAAATTAAATTAATTGCCATTTCATAACTGTAATTTTGCTACTGTTATGAATCGTAATTTAAATATCTGATGTGCAAAATGGATTTTCATTGTTAGAAATTAAACATAGTGCAATACGTTCAACTGATCCAGCTTTGACTTGCACAGACCAAACAAATAGCAGATCGAGACCAAACTTGGCACACGTAACTTCCATGACCAACAGAAAATACTGGAGGGGTCTGGGAGGAATTAACAGTGATTTAATAGTAATCGGATCCTAGACTTGCAAGGGACCTCCAAAGGCCATCTGGCCCAACCCCCTTCTGCCTTCATGCAGGAAAAGCACAATCAAAGACCCCACAACAGATGGCCATTCAACCTCTGCTAATAATAATAATAATAATAATAATAATAATAATAATAATAGGATCCTAACATTGGAAGGGACCTGTGGGGATGCAAAAGGGGCGGGGCCAAACGAGGTGGCCTTGTGACCCCTCAAAAATTGCCAAACGACCCCTCTGGGGGTCGCGACCCCCAAGTTGAGAACCGCTGTTGTAGGGACTGAAACATGAAATGTCCTCCTTCAAAATCTCCTTCAAGTTTGTCTAACATGGTGGCAACTCCTGATATGGTTTACTTTGTTTATCTTTTATGTACCATCTCATTTGTAAAATTGTACCAAACTAACAAGTTGCTTTAACTCCTCACTTTACTTCCTACAGTCCACCTATCCAATGCTTTAACTAACTGACAGCCTAATTGTAAATATGTTTCACCTGCCTTACATTTTATTTCTCTGAAGGCTTTTCAGCTTTGTTCGGCGGTTAGCCCAAACCTTAGTTTCACTCTTTCTTTAAACAAATTATAATCAGAGCTCTCCTCTTCTCTCAGGTGGCCATAGATTTCTCTTAATTCACCACATAGCAATGGTCTCAAATGCACCATTTTCCTTGCCTTAGACCAGTGTTTCTCAACCTGGGGGTCAGGACCCCTGAGGGGGTCGTGAGGGGGTGCCAGAGGGGTTGCCAAAGACCATCAGAAAACATAGTATTTTCTGTTGGTCATTGGGATTCTGTGTGGGAAGTTTGACCCAATTCTAATGTTGGTTGAGTTCAGAATGCTCTGTGATTGTAGGTGAACTATAAACCCCAGCAACTACAACTCCCAAATGTCAAGGTCTATTTTCCCCAGACTCCACCAGTGTTCACATTTGGGCATATTGAGTATTTGTGCCAAGTTTGGTCCAGATCCATCATTGCATGAATCCACAACACTCCTCTGGATATAGGTGAACTACAACTCTCAAAATGCCCACCAAACCCTTCTAGTGTTTTCTGTTTGTCATGGGAGTTCTGTGTTCCAAGTTCGGTTTAACTCCATCACTGGTAGAGTTCAGAATGCTCTTTGATTATAGGTGAACTATAAATCCCAGCAACTACAACTCCCAAATTACAAAATCAATCCCCCCCCAACCCCACTAGCATTCACATTTGGGCATATTGGGTATTTGTGCTCAATTTAGTCCAGTGAATGAAAATACATCCTGCTTACCGGATATTTACATTGCGATTTATAACAGTATTAAAATGACAGTTATCAAGTAGCAACGAAAACAATATTATGGTTGGGGGTCACCACAACATATGGAACGGCATTAAGGGGTCACGGCATTAGCAAGGTTGAGAACCACTGCCTTAGACACTCCCAAGTCCTTTTGAAACTAGCAAGAAAAGCCTCCACATTATCCCTTTTTTGGTATTTTGGGAACTGTTTTAAGTCCTGTGTTAAATTCGGCTGGGGAAGATGGATTGGGTCCCCTCCCCCTTATCTCCATTTCCCTCATTTTAACTGAAATATCTTTTCTTCATGGGCCATCCTAGCCTGCTCAATTTCTCTTTCTCTGTCATGTTCTCACTCCCTTTGTTCTGCTTCTCTTTGTTCCCTCTCACGTTCTGCCTCCAGCCACTGGATCAGTTTGTTATTTGGATCCTGACACTGCCCACCAATTGCAAAAAATAAAATAAAATAAAAATGGAGGATTATGTATTATATATTACTTTGCTGCCACCAATTATTTATTAAGGTTCCTTTAGCTGCCACCATTTATTGATCCATAGGCCACCTCCTTGCTAGAATGTTCACAAAGACACATGAACTCTTTGGGTGAAATAAAACAAGAATATGATGCTTATTTTGTTCTTGAACAGTAAAAATGCATAGTGGTTTCAATAAACTGTCAGGCTTTACTTGTACAGAAATTGGTTCTATAACTTGAGTTTCTTAAAAGCAATGTTCCACACACAGGAATACAAACAGGTTATTTTGAACCTTTTGAACCCTCTTTCCACACCAGCACTCTAAAACTATAGAGGCTCGCTAATACTTCTTATTCCTTCTCCCTGAAGGCTTATTACTTTCTTTAAAGAGGTATCTTACTAAATAACAGTTCCCAAAACTTTTTCTTTCTTCCCCTTTAGATCTTTTAACTAACTCTTCAAACTCCAAACTGAACTGAACTCTAGCAGCATTAGCTCCCCTTTCTTTCCCTCTGGCCATCTCCGGCTGCTAAGCAACTCCCTCCAATTTCATCAGCCAATCAGTCTGCTCCAGCTATGAAACTGCCTGATTGCTCCTCCCCCTTGCTCCTCTTGACTTTTCTAAGCCAGACCTGTCTACTGCATGTACACCAACCCTGTAAGATAGGCTAATGTGTTACAGGTTCACCCTATGGAGGGATAAGTACCCACAAAGCAAAAGTGATGGTCCCTGGGCTTTCCCAGTATAAAGTCTGAGGTCTATTAAACAAACACAAAATAAGGCAAGACCATATTTACTTAACACAGTTGGAGTAACAATGAACACAATCAAAGCTCAGGAGTTCAATGAATGCAGATAAGTCGAGTACTACAGATCCAGGTCTGAGCAAGAATAAACAATAGCCAAGATTAAAGTCCAATAGTCACGTGCCAGGAGTTCATTCAACAGAACTGATAAAAGAACAACCAAGAAATCAAGAGTACAGACTGAATTCCGAATCCCAAAGTCAAGCCAGAAAGTCAGGGATACAAATAAAGTCCAAGTCCATAACTGAAACCAAGAGGTCAGTCCACACTTTAGAGTCAACAATTCAAGATACAACAGAAAAGGGTTGCAGGTACAAGGCCTGAGCTCAAATTTTAATTGAGGAACAATACAGTCAAGGCCTAAGAAAAGAGTATGAATATATTATCTGCTGCCAAAGAACTATTCTTTTTCAGAAAACTTTTGTCCAGAGATCTCAGCTGCTGCTTATTTCAGCAAACCTTCAGAGATCATCCTAGAAGCCTGTGATGGGTTTCCATGTGGAGAACTCTTCAAAGCTTGCTGCTACATTGAATGAGACCTGCCTTTACTGTGTGAGACCTGTCCCCACTAGCCATCAATCAAGGTCACACAAACTGCAGTTCATGTTACAGGGAGAGCAAAGTGGGGCCTTTCTCTTTCCTTCCAATGTTCTTTAAAGAGAACTAGGAAACTCAAAGACAGGTCTTCTCCTCTACCCACTCATGATTTCTTTGATGTCTAATGCATGCTGAACTTTTTCTGAAGTTTTTTTCCCCACAGTCCATGCATTTACGTCACTTCTCTCCGGTGTGGGTGATGTCATGGGAACTCAGTACGTCACTCTGACTGAAGCTCTTTCCTCACTGAATGCATTCATATGGCTTCTCCACTATATGAGTCTTTTGATGGGAATGCAGGTGTCCACTCTGAAAGAAGCTCTTTCCACATTCCATCCATATATTGATTCGATCCTGTTTGGATCCTTTCATGGGAATGTAGTTTATCACTCCAGTTGAAACTCTTTCCACATTCCATGTATTTATATGGCTTCTCCCCTGTGTGGGTCCTTTGATGGACACGCAGATTGTTACTCCGACAGAAGCTCTTTCCACATTCCATGCATTTATAGGGCTTCTCCCCTGTGTGGGTCCTTTGATGGGAAAGCAGAGTGCTACTATGACTGAAGCTTTCTCCACACTCCATGCATTTATATGGCTTCTCCCCTGTGTGGGTCCTTTGATGGACACGCAGACTGCTATTCTGACTGAAGCTTTCTCCACATGCCATGCATTTAAATGGCTTCTCCCCTGTGTGAGTCCTTTGATGGGAACGCATATTGTCACTCCGACTGAAGTTTTCTCCACATTCCAGGCATTTATATGGCTTCTCCCCTGTGTGGGTCCTTTGATGGACACGCAGATTTCTACTCTGACTGAAGCTTTCTCCACATTCCATGCATTTATATGGATTCTCCCCTGTGTGGGTCCTTTGATGGACATACAGACTGCTACTCTGACGGAAGCTTTCTCCACATTCCATGCATTTATATGGCTTCTCCCCTCTGTGGGCCATTTCATGGTAATGCAGATGTGCACTCTGACGGAAATTTTTTCCACATTCCATGCATTTATATGGTTTCTCCCCTGTGTGGGTCCTTTGATGGACACGAAGACTTCTACTGTGACTGAAGTTTTCTCCGCATTCCATGCATTTATGTGGCTTCCCCCCTGTGTGGGTCCTTTGATGGGAATGCAGACTTTCACTCCGACTGAAGCTTTCTCCACATTCCATGCATTTATGTGATTTCTCCCTTGTGTGGATCCTTTGATGGGAAAACAAATGTCCACTTTGACTGAAGCTTTTTCCACATTCTATGCATTTATATGGCTTCTCCCCTGTGTGGGTCCGCTCATGTACCTCAAGATGACTTTTCCTACCAAAATTTTTCCCACATTCAATGCACTGATGTAACTTCTCCCCTGTGTGTGATTTGGGATAGGGAAGTAGAGGACTTGCCATTCTTTTACATTTATAATTCAAATATTATGCCAGGGGTTCACAGATATAACCTCCTGAACAGCTCCGACTTTGTACTGCTGTAGACTTCTGCTGGCTTTCTCATGCCTATCTTTTTACAGCACTATCCTGCTACATACCTGTGCAGCTTGTAATATATAAAATTTTTCTTCTTATTATTGTTGTGTATCTTCAAGTCACTTTACACTTAACAGGATTCCTAGTGCAAAGCTCTCACTAGGTGTTCTTCACAAGACTTGTTCAGAGGTTACCTGCCAGACGAATAAGAGGAAAATCTCTTCAGGAATTTAAAAGAGAAAGAGCTCAAGGAAAATGAAAAAATGTGTTTATTATAATATTTATTTATACCCCGCTTTATCTCTCATTCAGGAGAGTCAAAGCGGCTTAACATAAAAGCATCAGCATACAATTTATAATACACAAATATTAAAACATTAAACAGGATGAAACATAAACAGTGTTAAAAATTCCAATTTAAAATCCATTAAAACATATTCCAAGTTAAAAACCATAGCACCCCCTGAAATGATCTTAAAAACTTCATCTTTAAAAGCCTGTCTGAATAAAAGGGTTTTAGCCTGCTGCTGGAAGGACAACAGGGAGGGGGCAATTCTGGCTTAATTGGGCAGGGAGTTCCGGAGTCAAGGAGCAGCCACCGAGAAGGCCCGCTCTCTCTTTTCCACCAACCCAGCTTGAGATGGAGGTGGGACCAAGAGAAGGGCCTCTCCTGAAGATCTCAGGGCCTGGACAGGTTTGCGCAAGGGGATGCATTTAGCCATACAGAACATAAACACAAGTGATTCCCATGAGGAAGAAAGCCTTTACTTTCAAGATCTTAGGAGACCTATTCGTTTCAGACTACAACTCCCAGGGTCCTCCAACCCTTCTGGCAGGCCTTTCTGCTGGGATGATGGGAGTTGTAGGCCAAGAGAGGCATTCCCTTCACTCTCTAGAGAAGGGATTTCCAAACTCCATACCTCCAGGATTTATTGGACTTCACCCAGAAGCCACTCTGGATCATGTTCTGACCTACAAAAAGCACTGCCTGAACATCAAGCAAAAAGTGGGTGCTAGAAACAATATCATACGAAAGCTGACTGGCACAACCTGGGGATCACAACCAGACACATTGAAGATATCTGCCCTTGCGCTATGCTACTCTACTGCTGAGTACGCATGCCCAGTGTGGAACACATTTCACCATGCTAAAACAGTGGATGTGGCTCTTAATGAGACATGCCGCATTATCACGGGGTGCCTGCGCCCTACACCACTGGAGAAATTATACTGTCTAGCCGGTATTGCACCACCTGACATCCGCTGGGAAGTAGTAGCCAATAGTGAAACGGCCAAGGCAGAGACATCTCCAGCTCATCCCCTGTTTGGGTATCAGCCAGCACATCAATGACTTAAATCAAGAAATAGTTTTCTAAGATCTACAGAGACACTCGCTGGAACACCTCAGCAAGCGAGAGTCCAAAAGTGGCAGGCTCAAACCCAGCACCTCAACCAATGGCTGATACCAGATGAGAGACTCCCCCCCTGGGCACACAGAAAACTGGGTGACTTGGAAGGCGCTGAACAGACTGCACTCTGGCACCACGAGATGCAGAGCCAACCTCAAGAAATGGGGCCACAAAGTGGAATCCATGACATGCGAGTGTGGAGAAGAGCAAACCACTGACCACCTGCTGCAATGCAGCCTGAGCCCTGCCACATGCACAAGGGAGGACCTTCTTCTTACAGCAACACCAGAGGCACTCCAAGTTGGCCAGATACTGGTCAAAGGACATTTAATCAACTACCAAACTCAAAAATTTTGTGTTTTGTCTGTTTGTTTGTTTGTTCTGTTCTGTTAGAAATGTAATACAATTGACTGGTTGCCCTGACATGACAAATAAATAAATAAATAATCTGTACCAAAAACTATCTTTTTCTTTTTTATTAATTTTATCATAATTCAATACATTTGCTATGCATCATTTCTTTTACAACAGGCACATAATATTCAATACAATTCTTCTTGGGGAGGTAACTTTCCATCTTTCTTTTTAAATCCTTTTCCAATTAATTTTCTCCATACATCATCAAAATCACTATATTTCCATATACCTCTTTTAAGTTTTAATATACATGCCAGCTTATCATTTATTGCCAATTTCCATACTTCCTTATACCATTCCTCTATTCGTATTATTTCGATTTTCCAATTCCTTGCTATAAGCTATTTTTAATAAGTTTGTTATCGCATATTTATCCTCTTTTTTCAGTTGTGTTATTATATAATAATAAAGCTGTACTAGGACTTCTTTCTATTTTAATGTTCATTATATCCTCTATTTCTCTAAATACTTTCCCCCCACCCTCCAAAATTACTTACATATTTACATTGCCACCACATATATGTGTATATATGTTCCTGATTGTTGGCATCCTCTCCAGCAATGTTTTGAACAGTTTTTATTTATATCTGCTACTAGTCGTCCCCTGCCACACATTGCTGTGGCCCACATGGCTGTTCTGTGTGCCAAGTTTGGTTCAATTCCATCATTGGTGGAGTTCAGAATGCTCAGTGATTGTAGGTGAACTATAAATCCCAGCAGTTACAACTCCCAAATGTCAAGATTCTATTTCCCCCAAACTCCACCAGTGTTCACATTTGGGCATATTGAGTACTTGTGTAGAGTTTGGTCCAGATCCATCATTGTTTGAGTCCACAGTGATCTTTGGATGTAGGTGAACTACAACTCCAAAACCAAAGGACACTGCCCACCAAACCCTTCCAGTATTTTCTGTTGGTCTTGGGAGAACTGTGTGCCAAGTTTGGTTCAATTCCATTGTTGGCGGGGTCCTGAGTGCTCTTTGATTGTAGGTGAACTATAAATCCCAGCAACTACAACTCCCAAATGACAAAAATCAATTTTTTGAGTGAAGGACATACATTGGGTTGTTAGGTGTCTTATGTCTAAATTTGGTGTCAATTCGTCCAGTGGTTTTTGAGTTCTGTTAATCCCACAAACGAACATTACATTTTTATTTATATCAGATTCTTATTGATGTTAGGTACTATTTCCATATTAACTTATAGTAATTTTCTTTAACCCATATTGATAATTTTTTCAGATATCTTTGTCTCCATAACTGATTTATTTTCATCCCTAAATCTTCTCCTCAGACTTCCGTGAGGGTGTTATTCTTTATTTTTCCTTTGTTTATTTCAATTATTATCTTACATACTTTACTAGGTATTCCTTCCAAATTTTCGTGCTTTTCTATATCCCTTCCATATTGTATTATTTGTTCGAAATGATTAAGCTTACTTCCATTTTTATTTATTTATTTTTACCCAGTTTTTGAACCATTGTTCTAATTGTATGCAACGGAACCATGTCAATCTATATCAATAAAAATTTAATGTTCGTTTGTGGTATTCACAGAACTCAAAAACCCCTGGGGGAATTGACACCAAATTTGGACACAAGACACCTAACAACACAATATATGTCCTTCACTCATAAAAACACTGAAAAACCTAGCAGAAGGGACTTTAAAAGCTCCAAAAAGCTAAATGACGAAAAGCTAAACGACAATACAGAAAAAAAGGGAAGAAAGAGGGAGGGAAGGGGAGAAAAAACCAACCAACCAACAAACCAAAGAAAGAAAGAAAGAGGGAGGGAGGGAAAGAAAGAAGGAAAGGGATAAGGAAGCATGAAAGCAAAGAGAGAAGGAAGGAAGGAGAGAGGTGGAGAAGGAAGAAAGGAGAGAAAGAGAGAGGGAAAGAAAAAGGGGGAAGGAAGAGAAGGAAGGTGGAGAAGGAAGAAAGGAGAGAAAGAGAGAGGGAAAGAAAAAGGGGGAAGGAAGAGAAGGAAGGAAGGAGAGAAAAAGAAAAAAGGGAAAGAACGAAGGAAAGAGGGAGCGAAGGAAGGGGGGAGATGTAGAGAAAGAGGGAGGGAAGGAAAGAAGGAGAGAAGAAAAGAGAGACAGCAGAAAAGAAAGAAAAAGGGGAAGGAAGGAAAGAGATAGAGGAGGAAGAAAGGAGAGAAAGAGGGAGGGAAAGAAAAAGGGGGAAGGAAGGAAACTTAGAGAAGGAAGGAAGGAAGGAGAGAAATAAAGAAAGAAGGGAAAGAAGGAAGAAAAGAGGGAGCGAAGGAAGAGGGGAAGACGTAGAGAAAGAGGGAGGGAAGGAAAGAGAGAAGAAAAGAGAGACAGCAGAAGAGAAAGAAAAAGGGGAAGGAAGGAAAGAGATAGAGAAGGAAGAAGAGAAGGAAAGACGGAAGGAAGGAAGGAAGGAAGGAAGGAAGGAAGGAAGGAAGGAAGGAAGGAGAGAAAGAGGGGAGGTTGGCCACAGCAACGTGTGGCGGGTACAGCTAGTTATTAATATAATCTTATTAGGAGAAGGGTATTTATTTATTTATTCCATACATTTCTATCCCGCTCTTCTCCCCACAAGCGGGACTCCGGGCGGCCTCACATAATGATGCTAACAACATATACGCCAGTGTTTCTCAACCTTCCTAATGCCGTGACCCCTTAATACCGTTCCTCATGTTGTGGTGACCCCCAACCATAACATTATTTTCGTTGCTACTTCATAACTGTAATTTTGCTCCTGTTATGAATCGTAACGTAAATATCTGATATGCAGGATGTATTTTCATTCACTGGACCAAATTGGGCACAAATACCTGATACGCCCAAAATTGATCTACTTCACTTTATTTCTTCATTAGTGGCTCTCCACCAAGGTGCTCCAAGCGACTTACAGTCTAAAATATCATTTACACAATATAAAAACATTCAACATAAAAACATTCAACAGTGACTATTTGGCAAATTAGATCTGACTACTTAAATGCACAACCAAACAGCCAAGTCTAGAGTGCCTGTACAAAAGGTCGCAACTCCGACATTGCTCTAATGTATGGAGGCCATGAGTTCCACAGAATTGGAGCAGAGGTCGAAAAAGCTCTACGATGCCTTGTAGCTTCCAGGTGTACCTCCCTCGGGCCCGGCATGTAGAGGAGATTTTCCTGGGTGGATCGAGGTGACCACGGATGGAGAAAAGGAATGAGGCGGTCTCTAAGATATAAAGATCCTTGGCCATTTTGAGCTCTAAATGTCAGGATCAGGATCTTGTAAGAGATCCGATGTTCTATTGGTAGCCAATGCAGTTGTTGCAGAATCGGTGTAATATGGGATCTTAGAGATGATCCTGCTAGCAGCCTGGCCGCCGCATTTTGGACCATCCAAATCTTCTGGGTTGTTGACTTCGAAAGGCCGGCATATAAGGCGTTGCAATAGTCCAACCTCGTGGTGACTGTTGCGTGGATTACCGTTGCCAATGCTTCTACCGAAAGGTAGGATGCCAATTTCCTTGCCTGGGGAAGAGGAAAAAAGGCCTGCTTCCTTATGGTAGTGATCTGGGCCTCCATCGTCAGCAAGGAGTCCAACACAACCCCAAGGCTTTGAACAGTGACAGGCGGAACCAGAGCTTCCCCATCGAAATCAGGCAGAGACTGGGTTAATTCTGGCATCTGGCCAGGCCAGAGGATCTCCGTTTTAGCAGGATTCACTTTGAGTCTCCTCGCTCGCAGCCAACTCATCACTATTTCCAAACACAGCCTAAAGTTCTCAGGAATCGCGGTTATCCCAGGTTTGAGACGCAAGAGTAGCTGGGTATCATCTGCATACTGGTAGCACTCTCTGCCAAAGCTCCGCACCAGTCCAGCAAGTGGCCGGACGTAGATGTTAAATAACACGGGCGAGAGGACAGCACCCTGGGGAACTCACTCCACAGCAAAGGCAGGAGCTCTCCGAGCTTTGGCCTGACCACTCCACCCTCTGTCTCCAGTCCCGAGGAACGAATTGAACCATTTCAGGGCTAAACCTCCTCGTACACCAGACAGAGCCAATCGATGAATCAGCAAGTCATGGTCCACGGTGTCGAATGCAGCTGTGAGGTCCAATCTAATGAAGTGATTTCCAAAATTTGTTTCTTGTTGTTGTTGTTCATTCGTTCAGTCGTCTCCGACTCTTCGTGACCTCATGGACCAGCCCACG